GATAGATTTTCCAAATATGCCACCTTCATGCCCGCCTCACCAGGTTGCACTGCCAAGGAAGCCACCATGCTATTCTTTAAGAATGTGGTGAAGTATTGGGACTTACCAAGGCATATTATCAGTGATCGAGACCCACGTTTTACTGGAAAATTTTGGAGAAAATTATTTGACATACTTGGCACGGAACTGCACTTTTCCACTAGTTTCTACCCACAGACAGATGGACAAACGGAACGGGTCAATGCCTTACTAGAATGCTACTTGAGGCATTATGTAAGCGCGTATCAGAAAGATTGGGCAAGGCTCCTAGACATTGCCCAATTCTCTTATTACTTGCAGCGGAGTGAGTCCACGGGGCGGACACCATTTGAGCTAGCCATAGGCCAACATCCACAAACCCCACATTCATTACCAGCCACGTTCGAGGGAAAGAGTTTGGGGGCTTGTCATATGGTCAAAGGATGGGAGGAGCAGCTTGACACTGCTAAGTCCTACTTGGATAAGGCAGCTAAGAAGATGAAGAAGTTTGCAGATCGTAAGCGGCGTCCCACGGACTATAGAGTTGGGGACATAGTCATGGTGAAGTTTAACCCAAGACAGTTTAAGGCACTATGGGGCATGCATCAGAATCTGATTCACAAGTTTGAGGGGCCATTTAAGATAGTTGCCAAGGTAGGCAAGATCTCATACTAGCTTGACATGCCATCGTATCTTAAGATCTACCCAGTCTTCCATGTCAGCATGCTTAAGCCATATCATGAAGATAAGGATGATCTGAGTAGGGGCCAATCAAGTCTAGCGCCTATGACTATCACCTCATCGCATGATAGGGAGATTGAGGCTATCATGGATTACCAGGCCACGCGAAAACAAGGTCAAAAAGCCACAGCTATGTTCCTCGTCCATTGGAAGGGGCAATCACCGGATGAGGCCACATGGGAACGATATGAAGATTTATGGCAATACAAAGATAAGATCCGAGAGTTTATGCAGCAACATTGCGCCGCGGTCGTCGCAACATTAGGTGGGGGAGAGTATGATGACTCGCCATGTCATCATGCCACATAGGCACCATTTGACACATATTAATGCCATGTGGAAGCTTACATAGGAGGAAGACTTGTATTTGTGAGAAGATTCTAGAGAAGTATGGGCATTTCCTTTGGGAGACCCTAGATCCCTATGGATTTGCTAGGAAAGTCCCTAGAATCTTCTAGGGCTTGTAGAGAATTCTAGAGAAATCTCTTATCTTGTAAATATTAAGGACTTGTGTAATAATTAATATTTACATACTAGCCCCTAGGAGACTAGTATATAAAGGGGGTCATTCATTTGTATTTCATCAAGCAAACAATTCAAGTTCTCTCTAATACAAAGCTTCCATTAACAATTCTCTTGAGTTCTTTCTACCATTCTCTTAGCGATCTTGAGTGTAGTAAGGCTAACTTGGCATAGCACGAACGTGAGCAAATTGTCAAGTGCCGCACGTGTACTTAGTTAACGACTAAGGACGTGACATACGTCCATAATATATAGATGAATAAAGTGAGTTCCACTTAAATAAGACGTGTGCAATTATTTCGGCAGACATTTTACAGTTTCTGAACTAGCATATCTTGGGTCCTCTCTCTCTTCAAACCTGCAGAAGAATCAAACTATAATTCATCAAGATAACTAATATAGAAATTATATAAGTCCGACTCAATTTTGAGGAAGAATTCTGATAAATGCCATTGACCAATAAGCATAGTTTAAATCATTAATCTTCCGGCAATGTAAAAGCAGCTGCATATTTTATCTAATATGCTTCTCGTTTGTATGTCAGCATTTGAAGTATGAGTTTGATATCGATAACCATAGTACATTTTGTTTCCCTTTTAGCACCAATAAAAGAAGGGGTTTACCCTCTGCTAGAGCTAGGACACCACTTTCAGATTTCAGAACCAAGAAGGTCCAAATTAGATGCATGGGCCATGTGTGGCCTTAGAAATCAAGGTTTAGCCCCTAATAAACCCTTGTACCATCCAGCTTTTCACAAAATTTAAGATGGCAGGAGAAGAGAAGGGAACAAACTTCAGATGCCTTCGGGGTTGTCCAGTTGGTTTGGAGGGCGGTCATCCACACGAATGACTTGGGATCAAATCCCCTCAATGCCTTCTGGGTTGAGCATGTCGCACATGACTTGCCTAGTGCGGATCACCTCCCATGTGTGGTTTGCAGGAGGTTTACCCAGTGCGCACCAAATGTAGCGGCTGCGG